TTATTTGAAAAAGTAACTCAGATATTCTCTTGTAAATTAAAAAATGAATGCGTTACTTTACTAGTTACTTGAAAAAACTAATCTGATTATGTAACTCGCGTTACTTGTAGTGCGTTACCCCCAATACTGGTACCAAATATCTTTACTTTTCAAAGTATCATATCGAAGTTAGAAATTCAAATATTGTGACAAAATAAATTTTGTAGGGTGCCACAAATTTGTTACAATTTCCAAAGGGTGCCGCGACTAAAGAAAGGTTTGGAAACACTGGCCTAACCGATAGCCTACTAGCAGTTTAATACTCAACTAGGTTAATAAAGACAAAACTTTCTAGCATATTTACAGATGAAACTGACCTGCACTTGAAGCCCTGAACAGGTCAGTGATGTAGCTACATTTCACTGCTTCTTCAGGCCGCTTTCTCTCTTTCATCGAGTCCCGCGCATCGGTTCTGTCTGGAATCGTTTGACGGAAGCACGGAACACACGTGAGCTGATTCGTATAGTGCAGCGCTGACAGCCCAGACTAACCGATTTATGATTTATTAAGCCAATCGATTTATTATCCAATGAAAAAATCGGAAATGATCACTTTGGTACATTGAGAAGGCATAAATATAAAATATTATTATTAATAATAATATTTTATATTTATGCCTTCTCAATGTACCAAAGTGATCATTTCTATGATCACATCATAAATCGGTTAGTCTGGGCTGTCAGCGCTGCACTATACGAATCAGCTCACATGTGAGCTGATTCGTATAGTGCAGCGCTGACAGCCCAGACTAACCGATTTATGATTTATTAAGCCAATCGATTTATTATCCAATGAAAAAATCGGAAATGATTTCTTTGGTGCATTGAGAAGGCATAAATATAAAATATTATTATTAATAATAATAACAAAAAAATAAAACATGGCAGTGGGCCAAAACAGCCGCCAATTCTCCCGGTGCTCCCGGTGGCCAGTCCGGGCCTGGTTCTATTGTACCTATAGACGGTTTCATCGGGCGCACGCGCCTGGCCCGAAGTTAACTTTCCGGTCTGTGTTTGTTTATCAGTCTGGCTATGGCGCCGGCTACAAACACAGTTAAAGTTAAGGTGATGAGTAGACTGAAGTTGGGTTCAGGTGGTTGTGTTGTGGGATGTTTCCCCCATACATTTATTTATTTGTGGCGCTCGCCACAATATAAAAAATTACAGATTTTCCAAAAGGCTTCGTTGAATAAACATGAGCATATTCTCCACATTTAAAAATCATAATGATGTGTGGGTGTTTTTATTTCACTGTATTTCTGAAGGAAGACTATCTTTAGAAAATTTTCGATGTCATTTTCATTTAATCTTGCATGTTATATGCCTGATAAAGCAGTGTTTGTGAGCTCAGCGCTGCTTTGTGTACAGCCGTTACTGGGGAAACCTCTGTTTCTCTCGCTTTAAAGCACCTCCTGCTGGCAGAGAATGAATTTGCATTTTCAGTAAGTCCATCTGATTTACGGAGCAAACATATTTAGCTTGTTATTAAAAATAATCTACTCTAGAGGGACTACTTAGCTGTTGTCATTGATTCTATTTGGAAGTCTACCGGAAGTTAAGTTAGGGCCACAAAAGCACGCATGCGCAGTAACGTTTGTTTATGTTGTTGCCGTTGAAACCGTCTAGTATTTTGTCACGTCACGCCGCGCCGCTCGCGTCCGGTGTAGACACAGTGTTTTTTTTATCTAGCCTGACTGATGAGAAACAGAGAGACAACTCTCTTTGGCAACTCTCAACCGCCACCAGTACTACTGTATACACTTAAATAAAACAACAATAATAATAAAAGTAAAAGTGGCTTCTTTCTAAATATCATGTCTCAATCACAAAAGTGAATCAGTAGATCGTGTACACTAATTCGGTCACTGGTAAGTTCCCTGACTGCACGTTGGGACAGTGATCACTCGAATTCCAGTGACATGATTACGTACAGCGTCAACGGACAACGTAGAACGTCACCGCTTGAATTAATAAACATGTAACCTATAATTCATTTCATACTTTTAATTTTTTAGAAAAAGCCATTTATTCGCTGTAGAGAAGGAACTCGCAGCTTAAAGGGGTCATATGATGTTGCTAAAAAGAACATTATTTTGTGTATTTGGTGTAATGAAATGTGTTTATGCGGTTTAAGGTTCAAAAAACACATTATTTTCCACATACTGTACATTATTGTTTCTTCTCTATGCCCCGCCTTTCTGAAACGCGTCGATTTTTACAAAGCTCATCGGTCTGAAAAGCGAGGTGTGCTCTGATTGGCCAGCTATCCAGTGCGTTGTGATTGGCCGAATACCTCAAGCGTGTGACGGAAATGTTACGCCCCTCACCATACTGTGATGCCTGCGGCAACCACATGTGACGACCCCGGGCTGGACTCCGCTTCCACGTCTTTGCATGAACATTTGGGTGGCGTTGTGCAAATCTTCCCCCACAGTGACGTAGACATGTGGGGGCGTGTTAGAACGAAGCGTTTTAGGTAGGTGTGGCTGACTCTTAACTTTTATAAAGAATATCTCTTTGGATTTGAGACTTTAGTCTTTGCAACTTTACAGATCTTCTTTATGCACCAAGAGCTTGTAACACTCCAAAGAGAAAGGAAAAATTTAAATCGCATCATATGACCCCTTTAAGTAAAAAGTGCTTGAGAAAAACACATTGTCCTGATTCAGTATCTGCTGTCAGATGTTGACAGGCTATATACTTTTACATGCACAATTTTTGGTTCAATCGGACTGAATTCATTCCGGTTGATGAATCTGAATGTAGTGTTTACATGAACGCTAATTAAAGTGATCGGGTTGATGTGCGCGTTCATATGTCACAAGCTTCAAATCTGAATTTTTTTTTTTTTTTACACGAGCACACTGCATAAATATAGTTTCTTACTGTTTGCACATAATAACCACTCTCCCACACGGTTTATTTGTTTGTTTTTAACAGCAGAATTAATATTTATCCATTTATGGATAAATATACACCGCTGTGCCGTGCTGCTCATATTTATCACGCAGTAAAAATGCCCCTCCCCGCGCCCAAAACGGGTTGCCTGTGGATGAGAAACCAAAACAAGTACTGGTGGGAGGTTGTCCTGCTCCACTTCACAGTTGCCGAGTGAAAGGAGAGTTTTATAATGACAGGACATGCATTTATACAACACTTTATTCAAAAGGAATAACCGCACGACATACGTCATTACGCTATTTCTGCATCATTGCACATGCGCAGTCCTTTCAGTTTCGGGGTTCAATCCAATCGAGTGTTTACATGCACTCTCAATCGTATTAGAAAAGTAATTAAACCACCCCCTTCAATCCGATCGAGCTCAATCGGATCGATTATGGTGTTTACATGAAGGCTTTTCAGTCCGATTGAGCGTCAATCCGATTACAAACGGATTATTTGGTTGCATGTAAACGTAGCCTGTGTGTCATTATTCTAATGTTATTTTCGTTATGAAATAAAAAGTATATCGCCTCAGAAAAACAAACTTTCTATCCTGTCAGACGTTATACTGCGCGGGCTATATCACGCAGCTTTTCAATTTTGTGTTGAGTTTTGTGATCGACGTTTAATTACACATTTTAAATAGCAAATTCCGGTCGTCAGAACAAATTAAAAGAACGTTGTGAATTTGATGGTAATGAAATGAAATTACGGACCTTCCGTTTCAGTTACTTCAGTTACTTAAGTCATGTGTTAGCTGGGATGTCACGTAATACGCTACTTTTTCCTCAGGAAATTCAATC